CTTCATCACAAAGACTCCCACATTGGGTGACCCAACATTTTCTCAACCTTGTAAATGAGCCCATAGAAATTTCTTAAGATGTAACCTTCTCATTACTAGAAACATTATACTTTCCCTCAACACCTTCGGTCACAGGTCTAACAACATCAACTACACTCCCCAAAACTTTTCCAAGTCAACTAAGTGACAGATATCGCGAGCTACAAAGCAAAAACAAACTACGCTTAGACTGGAACTCATTTGTACCACCCTTCCCCTTTTTGCGCATTACCTCGATAGTAATCGCCTCCATAATTGTTTATTCAATAGAGTACCTTATAGACACGATATTCCCAAAGTCATCCAAGAACATAATATTCCGATACTGTCATAGCAGAACTTAAGTTTAAATCTTAAATCAACAACAAAATTAAACAACTTATTAACTTACCCATTACCACGGTCACAACCAGACATCACCGTTCAATCCTTACCCTTTCCATTTATAACAACAGACTTTATATATAAATACGATAGACACACAAAAAAGACCATAGGCTATATAACTTTTTGCAAACCTTTTTCAAGACTCTCGTACACATTTAAAGTTCAATTTTTTTACCGAGCAGTTCCTTTTCTCTATTAGTGCACCTTGAACCAACAAATCCTTACCCGTTCCATTTATAACAACATACTTAATATATAAATACGATAGATACACAAAAAGGACCATAGGCTATATAACTTTTTGCAAACCTTTTTCAAGACTCTTGTACACATTTAAAGTTCAATTTTTTTACCGAGCAGTTCCTTTTCTCTATTAGTGCACCGTGAACCAACAAATACTTACCCTTTCCATTTATAACAACTGACATAAAATATAAATACGATAAATGCACAAAAAAGACCATAGGCTATATAACTTTTTACAAACCTTTTTCAAGACTCTTGTACACATTTAAAGTTCAATTTTTTTTTACCGAGCAGTTCCTTTTCTCTATTAGTGCACCACAAATCACGAAAATCCTTTACCCCGTACAGGACCACAAGATCTCCTTGTTACATATTATGATTGTGGAGATCACCAACAAAAACATTACACAAAAATGCAATTAACCAGGTCACACAATGAAAATCTGAAACACAAGACATTGAATCAATATTGAATCTGTATTTTCCACACTTTGCTCTAAAGCCCGCGCTACAACTCTAACAGGTTGTAAATTCTTAGAAAAATTTTGTGAAAAGAATTACATTGTTCACAAGTTTCAAATGGAAACAAAAAGAGACTGAATCAGGAAAATTTTTTACAAATATAATATAACGATTATTACATCTTGACACAAAAGATTGAAAAAATGAACTAAAGCGGTTAAAAATAGTCATTACTAGGGAAAAAACTCGAAAGTTAGTAAGTTTTTAAGTTTTCCCAGACTCCAAACACCAAGCTCAAATTGAATAACAACAAGGCCATATCCAACTAGATGACAAATTTCCTTATCATGGTGCGCACGGACGTTTAATTTATGACATATTGGAAATAATAACCCAACAAACTATAAAGGAGCCCCAAAAAGTTCTGAATACCAAGAGATATTGTTTTTTAAGTGAAAATTCCACTTAGAAAAGTACAAAGAGATTTAAAAGATGGCATCATAATATATCAAGGAATTTGCTTAGTTTATAAAAGCGATCAAGGCAATTGCGATCCGACAACACGACAACAAGCAACTATAGTTTGGTTCCCTGAAGACACATAGACCACATTTAAACTCGCTAAAGTTCACGCAAGAATGATAAAATTTCAGTAACAAAATACTTCGTCCTGATCAAAAAAGTTCAAATCCCAAAACATATAAGAAGATACACATATTAGAAAATCAACTAGCATGTTTTCAAACTTACCCTGAAACCGAATTAGCATGCAAATAACCAAAGCCAATTTTTCGTGCCCAATATTCAGAAATAACTGTTGAATACGATGGAAGTTTTATAAGAAAACAGGCAAATTCACCATTGACATAGCCGACACAAATCAAAACAGAGAAAATGAAAAAAATCTCACATACCGGTAACATTTTACAAAAGCAATGGAAACGTTGGAGGAAATGTTCTCCCAGAAAACTGTGAAAAAAATCGACCTCAAGAACTCTCAATAATGAGCAACACATATTTGGCGCAATTCACTAAGACATTTATCTTGATACGAAACTTGACTACACAATTAGAAGACTTTTTCAAGAAAATTTATTTTCAGAACTCGAAACACTACATCATTTACGTGAATTAGAACGATCACAAAACTTACAATCTCTCGCTTTAGCAGTACACAAAATACTTTATGCAGGATAGATCCTATCATATAACCGCTGTAACTTCGTTGATTATGAGGGAAACATTCTCTGGTTTTTTTTAAAACTTGCACTAAAAAAAATCCACCACTCTATGTATTTGAAGGCAAAAGGTGCTAACAATAAATTCCTATCTTTTATAAAATTTAAAGTACATTTTCTAGACAAATTGTCACGATGAACTTTTTTGGGATTCAGCTGTCCCATTAGATCCTAAAAAAGTCACAATGTGGTACAGCTTACCCCAAACGAAGATGAAATTGGAAACTCTGGCTCCGCCTTGTCACACACTGACGCTACCCCTATCCTTTCTCTTCTTTCCAGTAATGCACCCGATGTACCTAGCCCCATCCCAGATGACCAGCTTGAGCATGACTGGGACGATTTTATTACTCATCGGCAACAAATTCATAACACTACTAACTCATTAACTATTCACCATTTCAACCACTCCGCTTCGACCTAAGAATCATCCATCCCATCTGTCCACATTGCCCCCACACCCGCACAAAGAGTTTTTATGAAACGCAAATACCCAAATCATACACCACAATTTCGCATTAACCTCCCATCAGCATCTCGACTTCTATACCATTATCCACGCCATACTAAAACAGCCTCATTTTTCGTAGAAAACCTTCCCTTTTTCCACCAGTGCACCTACTACAACGGAACGGAGAAAATCAAGCCCAGGGAGCCCAATATGTTGATGAACAATCCTTAATACCGACCCTCTCATGGATATCATATTATATTTTCACTAACCCATCAAAAACACCCTAAGAATACTGACGACGACGAACTTTGCGACTCAATTATTAACTAAATTAATTGACACACTTCTCCTAAATCATTTCACGAACATAGGCTTAAGCAAACAACTTATAGAAATTCCATTAATCACTATGACCACATAGTCGTCCGATACATGAAAGACTCACCTCATGATACTGACCCTGCAGTGAATGCAGAACTAACTACAAAATTTTTCATTAAAACTGAATACAAATTTCACCTTGATAGCATCAACTAGAAATTCGATCACATTATTGACCATTGCACTAATGAACACAAAAGCTTACGAACCATTTTTAGTAAGTTTGATCACTTTGCACTAACATTCAATTTGCTAACACCAAAAAAAACAAGATAATATTTGTTCTCATGAAATTATGTTGAAACCCAAACTCACACAGAGTTACACTTATTATAAAAAACATCTAACAACTTATTCTTCACAGTTCACCATCCTACAATCCTCGCCACCGTTTCATTTTTATTAACTCTAGATAAACATCAGCTTTATTTCTAAACTTCAAATATTGCTTCAAATCAACTAAGTTTCATGGCATCCTCCATGACTATGATCCCGTACGTCAAATGTATAGCTTTTGCCCCCTCACCAACAAGATACTGCTTGAAGACTCCCGCCCCATTATTATCCCGCATGAATATATCCAACCCAATGAAATCACCGTTTTAGAAAACATCCATAATTTTAGGTTGAATCGCAAATTACATAACCTCATTCAAAAATCTAAGCATGAGTTTTTCGCAGTCACCGAAGAAGTAAAAAATCATCGGCGCGCTTGAGCTTCTTTGGCCGCTTCTAATAAACTCAGACACCGTCAAAAATAACTTCCCCCATGGATTTTTTTTGGAGCACGACCCGTCGTAAGTATGAATTTACAATACTACTAATGAAAAGAACATAAAACACTCACACTTTTTACACGTGTGTTTCACCTTTTTTTTAAATTTTACCAAACATTTCTCTGAAAATAGAAAATAAAAACCAAGATAAAAACTCAACTCAAATTAAACTTCCCATTTCATAGTGAAACTAATTGTCATTAATTTAAAATTGAATTAATTTTAACAAGTAATAATAATTTGCCCGCAATGTTGTATGTTCACAATACGAAGTGGTTTAATGAAAAATAACTTAAAATTGTTATCCTTTTTATGTGCGCTCATATTTATAAATCCAACTTCTTTGTTTAACCTCACGCACCAGAACGAAGTCACTCGAAGTATATGTGACCACCATGTGATAAGATCCCGACCCTCAATTTTCACTAAGAGTAGCTCTAGTGTGAGCAACTCATTAAAAGAACCAAAACTAATAAAAAACGCTTTTGCGAAAACAGTTAACAAAAAATTATAACTAAAACTGAATTCACTAACAAGATGCAGATATAAAAATATAAGGTAAGAAAATTTCTGAGAGCAAAAGGAACGAGCAGCAAAGGGAGATGAAATTTGACGACATTCGCTCTCTTGAATGGCAAATCTATTGGTTTGTTGCCGCAGAAATTTCTCCATCCAACCTTCACAAGAACAAACTTAAAACTTCAAAACTTTCTAAACCCCGGATGTGTGCAATCAGTTGAAAACAAGTGTTTATTATATTCAATTATAATCTTGATAACTATCTCTAAAATCTTTGTATTTTCGTTGCAAATTGAGCAATTTCAATAAAAATTTAGTTTTCGCATAATTATAAAATAGGCTAATTTCACGCTGGTAAAAAAAGAAAATATCAGTAAGCAGTATTTGAAATAGCAATTATTTAAACAATATGCTTGTTCATGGGTATGCTAATTGACACACATGCTAATAGGCGGGTCGCTGTGAATGGTAATGAAAATAAGTTACGCTCATTTTTAGCTTAAGTCTGAGTACGAACGATGGCCTGTACGATAAGAGTCCGGGGCAAGAAGAAGCAAGAGTTACATGTGATCAATGGAATCTTGAAGAAACCTCGACATGTGAAAGTGATTACTTCTCGTTGATATAAACAAAGGAGAGAAAACTTAGAGATGACCGAGAACAATCTTTGTTTTCAACCAGATTTAGTTTTAAACCAGATTGTGTAGAATAAGTTTCGTTCCAAAAAGCTATCTTTTGCATGCAACAGTGTGTCAGTAAGCTCCATTTTCTTACAGTTTATGGGAGTTCATTTTTTATCGAAACTTTCCGTCAAAAACTTAGTCAAACCCCTGCCTCAAAACCCCCTCCCCTTTACAATCAATCCAAAATAGGTTGGATTTACTTTTCGTCAAACTAAATGAAAAACTTGTAAATCAGATGATATTTGAGTGAAGAGGCGCCACACCATCAAACGCGTTTTTTAAGTTTTTTAAAAATATTAAAAGGAACGGTAAAGTTTGAACAAAATTGCATAATTTAACAGTATAATTATAAAATTATCAAATAGAGTTATCAAAATTTGGGCTAGTCTCGATTCTGAGAGAAGCCCAAAAAACCTATCTTCCCATTTAACGTGTTAGAAAGTATTATTTATAAGAATATAAAATCAAAAGTTTTAACAAGGATAGCTGGTTGCTGTGCGTATATCACAGAATGATCCTACCGTATGTACTCTTAAAAAAACGTAAAAAGGTTTCTACCTTTCCCAAAATTACCGTCGTTTTTTGTGCATGGTGTGATAAAAAGGTTCTGAATTGATTAAAAATTTCGAACTCAGGCTTTTTTGACACTCTTAGTAAAATAAGTCAATTGGAAAACAGTGTTGCCAAAAACACAGGCAACGATCTAATATTTTTTAATTTTTTTTGGGCGTTAATAAAAAATTTTCCCCCGTAGTCGGAACAATGAGAGCATTTTTGTCAAGAAGCTTTATTTAAAATTTGAAGATTTTCCATTTTTTAATTTGTTGGCCGGTAAAAATTTGTTTGATGCTTTGCATCATTTGTAAAACTTAACTGAATAAACATGCAAATGGTTTTATTTTTTTTTACAAATCTGTTTTTGGTAAGCACATGTTAAATAGTGGAATCTCATATATCTGGAATCTCTGAAATTACCCTCCACTATTTTGTAACTGATTGACCGACCAAATAGGTGACTTGGCTTCAAATTGACCTGTCTTAATGTAAAATGTCTTGTCCTGTTTGCTTGCACTAAATTTTTGACGAAAAAAAAAGAAAAAGTTTGCCGTATCTCTATTAGATCTACCAAAAGCATTCGATTCAATTGGTTATGATCAAATTAAGACTAAACTGAAAGATCTAAGATCTTCTGAAAGAGCATCAAATTTGATTCATAGTTTCATTTGCAACAGACAACAAAAAACTGTAGTAAACAACACAGAATCCGATTGGATTTCACTCCACCAAAATGTACCGCAAGGTACAACTTTGGGACCCTTCATCTTCAACCTAGGCATCAATGAGTTAAATGAACAATTAAGGAAAAAAGGAGAGTAGTGTAGTATGCAGACGACACACAACTATTTTGCGATGATAAAAACGTTGAAAAATGTTGTATAGATTTTACAGCAATCATGTCAAAAATTGTCTCCATATTTTATAATTCACTATTTAAAACTCAATACCAGCAAAAACGAACTGATCATATTTAGCAAAAAAACATCACGCTCAAGAAACAATACAAAAATCAGTATTATTTCAGATAAAAATAAAATGGGAGAAAACCATAAGTCAAGTAATTGGGGCTAACTCTTGATCAATTCTGCACATTCCAAGGTCAAATTAAAGATATATTGAGAAAAATGGCCTGCGGAATCAAAAGATTACAATCATTAAGAGGACCGCTGACAGTCCAATACAGATTTTTTTTAAATAAATGCTCTAGTATTAAGCCATTTGCATTGCCCAGCAGTACTTCGAAACGGTACAACAACGAATATGACAATGACACTTGAAAAACAACTAAGCTGGGCAACTAGGTCTTGCTGTGGTAGAAAAAAATTGATTCAGCATCTGATCTTAAACCAAACAAAAAACAATATACTACATTGGATGTATCTCCGTTCCCGCCGGTTTTCTTGTTTTAAGGAAAACTCGTACTCTTTCACACATAGGTTTGCAAGAGTTACAGCGAGGGAAGCGCCCATTGCTAGGCCATCAACTTGCACATACCATGAATCATTACACTTGAATTAGACTTTGCTGACCGCCATCTTCAGAAGCCTTTTCTTGATTGCTCTTTGAAATTTAGGAGGAGACTCCTGGCTGTACACCTTCCGTAATGCAATTTTATTTGCTTCCTTCAGTGGAACATAAGTGTATAATTTTTTTCTTTCAAGAGATATTATGGTTTCATCCAGATCTACAGTAATGGTTTCAATTGTTTTCCTGGCATCTTTAGTATATCTTCTAAATTGGCTTCATCGGTGTTGTCAAAAAACACTTACAAGCGTTGTAATAAGAGTCCCATTCGAGCTGCCCGGATGCGATTTTACTTGGCTTTGGGGTGTCTCAGCATTGTTTATTTTAGCTAAACCGTAATAAAGGGCGGTTTGCCCCCCTGTTTACCTCATCTTAAAAAATAATTGATCACTTATCTCTTCTCTTTGTTCATGACAGGGAATTTTTTGTTGAGTTCTTTCTCAATTTTCAGTGTCATCTCATCAGTGGTTGCCTTTTTTACCACAAAGTAAGTAGATTGCAAAAAAGAATCCAGTTTTGATTCCTACGTTTGTTTCCTCATTACACAAAAACCAACCAACCCGCTTATCAAAAGGCACGGCCAGCTACCCAATATCTTTGAAACATTTCCTCGTTTTTTCAAATGGCTTGTCTCGTGGGGTTTGCTTTTATTTTTTTTGCATATGATTTTGCCGCGGCTTCTTTTCCACATAAAGCTTAACCCGATGTTTTTTGGTTTTCTTATTTTTGAGAGGAAAATGTCGATATGAGCCATAAATTGCGTTTCGTTAAATTTGTCTATAATTGGATGCTTCAGACCCATTGACAGCATTTCATGTACCAAATCAGGCAGTTAAATCTTATCAAGCGCCCTAACTGATTGCTCATTTTTTCACCAAAGAGGTTTATTTTGTCTCTCGAACAGTTTTTCTAATTGTCTGTGGTTTTCTGATGTTGTCTTTAAGCTTTCATCAATTTGGTGACTCAGGAAACGGAAAATGGATGCCCGCCACTGTTCGTTGATTTCTTTCTGCATTAACGATCGGAATTTCACTAACATCTCCTCATATCTTTTCCTGTCCTCTTTAGCCCTGGACATTTTTTCCGTCCTTAGTGGTTTTGATTGAAAATTAGGCACATCTTGTTACGAAAAAGTCCCATTCTCGGGAACACTAGATTTTGTAAAATCCGGTATTAGATAGTTTTTCAGACTTTTTCTCTGAAATTTCAGTCTATGTAGAGATATTTGATCTTTTTCATGGAACTTAAAATAGTTTAGCACATTTTTCCAAGTCATTTTGTGTTAATTTTGTTCGAGATTAACAGCAGGTAAAAACGCTCTGGTCAGTGTTTAGCAGGCCACGAGTAATTAAACTAACACGTCACAAAGCAAACCAAACCACACTCTCCTCATCCCTGTTTTTGAAGCGCAGAATCTTCCTCTGGCTTCAGCTACTGCTCACGTCTTACTTTCGCCTTCCTCATTGTCTGCGATGGTCTCTGTTGTTTGCCTTTGATATTGCGAATCAGTTCTGCAAATCTTTTTTTGTGTGCCACTGCCAGTCGCTGAGGGTTGAGCTCCAGTTCAGGATTCTGTTGCAGCTTCAAAGCTGCTCTGGGTCGTTCTATTTGCTCTTGGTGGGTAGCCGTTTTGTTGCAGGCGTTTTGCCCTTCTGCAATAGACGATCGCCGAACTCTACTGCTTCTTCGAATACAAATAAATTGTCAGCTCATCGACACAGGTTGTCGATAGTTGTTAGTTCTATAGATGTTAATTTGCTGTTCACCACGTCGTGCCACCTTCGTGCCACAAAACGACTTTTTCTCTTTCAGTGGAATGTCATCGTCGATAGTTTTTCCTTTGTTCAGCCAGTTGTTGTTGAGGGATAGGCCAGGAATTGCTGTTAAAAGGCTGCCGTATTGCTTTTCTCCCTTCTGGTGAGGGTGATGATGCTGTGGAAAAGAGAACCAGCTGCTACAATACATTTCGTTAACTCAAATAAAATGGGCCATATTCTACGTATCGCGAAAAAAGAACACCAAAAAAGTTTCCTATACCTTGATAAAGACAATTAAAAATTCAGATACTGGCCCTCTAAAGGGAAAACAGTTCAAGCAGTTTTTCGTTTTTTGGACTATCCGAAATTTTCATTAAAAAAATGAAGTGATTTTTGATGAAAATAAATTTCTAAATTTTTTGTTCATCACTTCGCAAATAAGGTGTTCATTTCTTTGATTGGCTTATTCTTGTTATCGTGTGTGACATTCGACCAGAATGCCAACAAAATGCAATTCGTATTCGAAATTTTATCATAGCATCTGAGTGGGAAGGTTGGCGGTTTTGATGAATAAGTGGTGCCAATTGCACTATTGAACGAATCAGGAATGGTTAATTTGGTCTGACATGCTAATTTTTAAGTTTTCGAAAAAACATAGCAATTTTATTTTTCCCGACAACTGAAAACGTGAAAACAATCAACAACACATTCGTAAGGACAGACAAGTCGAACGAGAGTGTAGTTACAAATTGGAATTGTGATTGAGAGTATTGACAGAAGACCATACCGAGTTGTAACGATTGTGCCGCTACAATCGTTACGAAGCAACTTCCGAGAACCGGGAAGGGTGTTGGGGCGACGTGACCAGCCTTCCGGAAAGAAGAAAAGACTGTTCTTCGTCCGGATTCAAGAATCCGGAAGGGTCTCGGGAGAGAATGTAACTCTTTATTTTAATAACTTATAGCTTCCTGAGGATGTCCTGAATTGAATTTAATTAATACCAAATTCATTTTCAATGTATGAGAAGCTAGGAGTTGAGGAAAAGGGTTGATCCATCTCCGATGGGAATGATGATTTTTATCTACTAAACAAAAACAATAGTAATATAAAAAATAAGTAGTCGCCCTGTTCTTAGGAGTGACCTCGATGTCTGTGGATACTGAGACCCAGCCATGAGCTCACTATTTTTGCATATAGTTAAGTTAATCT